TTTTGTTTGTTATTATTATTATAATTATTATTGTTTAAACCTTCGTGTTTTTAGTCACATAATACTTAGCGACGTAAACAAACCTGTTCGATCCTGCAGCGTGTCAATTTTTTTTTTAATCAAATCAACAACTTTTTAATTTTTTAAATCATTCAAATATATATGACTTGAAGTCAAGACTGGTGAGAACATAATTGAAAAATAAAAGGAAAAGTAAAGGTCCTAAGTTTGAACCGTGATATTTTAAAGAATATTGTATCCAAACCAAAAACAACTTTATCTTTCTATAATGGCGCCAGTATCCTTCGTTTTGACGTTCGCAGAGATTTCCATATGTTAAATTTAGTAGTAATTAAATTTCCGAAACGTTTGAATGTAATTTTTATTTGCAAAATAATCATGCCAAAGGGTTCTCGTGCGTAAAAAAATCTGATAAAGGTTTGACCTTTTCATTTAAATGTGTTGTTGAGAATTTCATGATATTGTCGACAATGTAAGCTTACGTTTGCAGTTGTTCTAGAAGTTTGTAACATCAGGTGTCAATGCCAATAAATAGGGTCATCCTAATATGTTTACTATTTGCAACGCAATGTCTAAAATACATTTTCTTAAATTTAAAACATATATAATATATATAACAACCTATTGATTAGAGCTTTTAGTTGTGTAGATCTTAATTAAAGCAGTTGAAAACACTTTGTGAACTAGGATGTTATTACATACTTAGAATATTGATTATTCCATAAGTTTCTGTCTAAAATAATAGTAATAATTCATGAATCTACATATGTTTGTTTCAATGAAAATAAAAGTATGCAGATTAGATCTGCTTATCGACCTGATGTAGGTCGTTACGCAAATCAGGTGCCATCATCTTGCAATCTGATCCGGCGATCTTGTTTTGAGGCGTGTATGGTATAATCGGCTGAATTTAATTGTACACAATAATGGCTATTACCAAATCGGCGATTCCATTTAATTCTCAATTAATTGGGTATTCAAACCTTACGGGACGTGTGCTGTGTATAAAATCAAAAACAGTGACTTTTATTTGGGACGAGGTTAACACCTGATTGAGCAACAACAAGTCGACGATGGCTTGTTCAATATTGGGCCACTTCTGCATACCGACAAAATGTCACAGAAATATTAGGAAATTCCAGCAAAATCATCCGCTCGCAAAAAAATTTGCCGTGTTCAAAAATCAATTCGTAACGCACGACGAGGAAGTAAACCATGTGGGCTTGGCGAGCAAGCTGCAAGTCTCCGATAATTAGGTCAGAAAAATGGTGTGACATACGGTGTGCCGGGAAAACAGAGGCGTAGCTGACGGGAAGACTGGGGTCAAGTGTTTTCGGAGCAAAGAACGGGCCAAATGTCATGAGTATATTTAGAATGATTTCTCACAATACGTGCGTTCTTGCGAATAGGTGAAGTTGAAGTGAATGCAGCACTATGATAACACTATACTTTTCTATTTCTTCTGGTTTATTAATTAATGACTGAAATAAGTATAATAGGTGTTGATTGCAAAATACAATGTCATAGTAATCATAATTTTATATTGGCGAAAGTGCCCCTGCAAAGGTCAGAAGTTTTATTCCTGAATGACGTCCCACGTTTGTCAATCGGTTTTGTACAACTGAAGACACGAAGTTCACGGCAATAAATTAAAATCCTGACATCATTGAAAATTTTTGCGAATTGTGGCTGTCACACATTTCAATGTGGATGCCTTTTCCGTGGAATTTCAGGTCAGAGAAAAACGCACAGCGCAAAAATTCTGGGCACGCCACTGCTGAAAAGCGGGCGATTCTGCACCATAAAGACAAACAAAGGCCAGGAAAGTTGTGTGAGAAGTTATGAAAGAAAATCTTGCGGTGGTAAATCCAGACATAACAAAGCGCCATAAAACCGCGATTATGGCTTGCGGCAAAAAAGTTACTTTCATTTTGTGTGTGAGTAATACCTTTACTACTTCCAGGATATTCACGCGCTTATTTAAGGAACAGATTTGAGTCAAGGCGACAAAAATAAATCGGCACGATATGGTAATGGAAGATTGACTAAGTACGAATTTGAATATGAATGCGCGGTAAAAAGTGGGAAAGAAAATATTTTACTCGTCCTTCATTTGAACAAGTATTCCAAAACTGCCCTAAAAACCGCTTGCACCTACTTTGCATGTTTTGTAAAGGAAATTGGATAAACAAAGTGGCGAAATGTATTCAAGTCGAAAATTCTACCATGACCGTGACTTAAATAAATGCGGGTTAGATGAATAATACATTACTGCGAGGAAAATGGCACTCGTTGTGTAACATTGATAAGAGGTGCCGTTACTCGACCAGAGGGCATCCGTTTGAAATATGAATTTTAAACGTCGATGCATCTTAAATTCAGCAACACGGACCCGACATTCAAAACACTGTTTTATTTAATATACAAGGTATCTGCTCCTGACCGTTCACTGTTTATTCATTTTCATTATCTTAATTTAATGTAGCTATAAAGCTTGATAGGTTTTTAGTACTACACATTTATAAAAAATATTATTTCGTTTAATTGAAATGTACCTTTGAGTTTGAAGAACTTTTAAGTGATAAATAATCACTAAACGGCACCTGTGATTGCTTTAACGTTAGATATCTCTACCGATACTTTGATTTATGTGTAATTAAATAAAAATTTTTGGAGACGCAACTAATCCGGTATTACACCATATTCCAAAATTCGCTATAAATCACTAAACGTAAATTAGATTTTCGTGGAAGCTTCATGTTTCGTTGTCAGAAAAAAGTCATTAAATTTAGATCAATCAAGGGTAGAGATCAACCGTTTTCATTCCTGTCATTGATTTTGTTACAACTCAAAGCTTCCTTTTTTTGTAGACTTCCGTGGAAATTTTTCCTTTTGTCTCCGTGGTACGGTGGTCGATATAAAATCTTAATATTGTTAAATAAATATGTTATTAAGATAATGTAACTCTTGATCAAAATTGTAGCTAAATAAACCAAATTAATTAATATGCATCTACTTACCTATATAACCATAATTTAGTGTTAAACAACAAACCTAGTCCTGCTTAAAATCCTGCATAAAACAAACTAAATTACCATGAAATGTAAAGTACTGTATACTGTACAAGCTTCATTAAGTTGCAAAATTCTCGCGCTGGATTTACGTGAATATGTATAGGTACTTGATTTATATGTTGTAGGTTTAATACAAAAGTCACAGATCTAATTATTTTCTTTTAATTTCGTTTCACTCGTTCGCTTATTTATTTACATAATGTATGAACGTTTTAAACTTGTTGGTTGTTTTTTTTCCTTTCAAGTAATATTTTTAGAATTATTATCAGCTATTGTGATGAAATTTTTTTCTATTTTTGTGTATCTGTCAATTAATTACTACTTTATCTTTGTTATTAGTTTAGTTATTTCTAATTTAGTCTACTCACTTCCTTATCTATTACAACATAAACATGAAAAAAAATCTGTTTGGCAGTTTTAAACAATACCATATTCGGACATGAAAATATAAACTGCAACTTAGTGCTTACGGGTCTTTCTAGATGATTTCATCCAAAGAAGCCTTTTCGTTCTTTTTTGAGTTAATTCCAATTTCGACAATTGTTTGATATTTCTTATCAAGAGGAGGCGCAATTGACAATACAATAGGTTTTCTGTTTCGAAACAAATATTATAATATTGGAAAGATAGAATTGTGGAACGATCCTTCACTTGAGTTACTAATTTTACCAATGATAAAAACAATCTGATTAAGGAGCGTGATACAGAGTCATCATATAATAATAATAAAAAAATGAGCTTCCATATATTAATTACAACAGAATGATACTGTTTTTAATATTTAAATACTTAGTATAACACCATAATCATTTTAATATTATAAAACATAATAAACTTTACTGTTATTAAAGGTGTGTACATTTCTTGTAACAGGTTCAGGAGACATATACGGCAAAATGTGCAAAATATACATTTTTTGTCACACACGGAATGCTTTTTATAATAAACCAGTGTCACGTATTTGGCGATATGTGATCATAAAAACTAATTGTTTTTCTGCCTTGAATGGTGGCGGAACCGCCATAACATATTAGGGTGGGTCGTTTTTTAGACTCTCAACTTTTTAGGTAAGCTTATGAAAATGAATCTCGTTCGCTGACTAATCTTGCATGCAAATTATCTCAAACGGTTAGTTATCTAATGAAGATAAAATGCTTGTTGTTTTTTGGTTAGACGGGCTTAGTTTACTTTCCCTTGGTTATGAAGTGAATTTCTCTTAAAATTTCCAGGGTACTTTTTTGAATAATTTCTTAGTTATTACGATTTCAACTGTAACTTTATGTTATAATAATATATTATGATAATTCACATTTGTTAAATCAATAGTCGAAGTAGATTATTAAAAAAGCAAATAAAGGAATATGCTGTACTATATGTTTCAAGTCACATTTTCTTAATAAAATGTTGTCATGTCGTTAGGTTAAATTAATTTTAATGCAAATAGTGTACAGCGTTCACAGAAATTCAGAATATATTAATAAGTTGTTTTCGAGTTAATCAAAAAAATACATTTCTTGATTCGTTAATATTTGTTGTGAGATAAACTCTATGAACACTTCTAAAAATTAAGATTGCATTAATTTACTTGGTAAAACGCTTACAAAAATTTGCCAACCTGTACCACCAACACTGACGTTTCCTCAAAATTGACCATAGTATGAAGGGTTGAAATTTTATAAAATAACATATTCCTGTTCTTGGGGTTTATGAATTCGCCTTGAAATTTTCTCCAAAGCAACCATATTTTGCAAAAAAAATCGGTAGCAAACTTATCCGCATACGTTCGATTGCCACATGGACTCTTTTGTTTCTTACACTGTTGCTGCTATACAAACCTTGTGCTCCACATTTTGAACTTATTACCAAAGAGCAGCCCATGAAAAGTCACTAGTGACACTTCGAAAGATAAATTTGAAAGATGTCAAAATTTACGTAGATGTCTCGAACATGTTGTTTCAGTTTATTATGATTCTTGCCTTTACCACAATTGAATTAGGTAGCGTTAAAAAAATTTAACCTGTTTTTATTTCAAAAATCCTCATTCTAGGGATCGCGGTTCGAACATGTTATTTTTGTGCAGATATTAAGGCTATGTGTAGACTAAACGATCAACGCATTAATCCCGACAAAATGCAGTGTAGCAAGTTTCGTGTAAATGACGACGAAAGTGCTAGGGCCTATATTAAAAAACCAGACTGGCTCAAAAATTATACGAATATCATGCTGTATGCTGTTCCTTTAAAAAAGAACAATGTCAAAACATTGTGTATTACGATTCATCATAGAGAAACTAATAGTTCCTCCAAGGTTAGTATTATCATGAAATTTGTATATTTTCTTTGAAATACGTTTTTCAGACGGATTGGTATACCTTTCAAACTTGCATGTATCGAGACCTTCTTGAATATGTTGACGGTTGCGAGTATTTTCTTAAGCGAGTTTTTGTCGAAAAGGTGGCCACCGATGTAACATGCACTTCATGCAAACGACAAGATTGCAATTCGGCGAAAAGAAGACAGCCGAATGAAAAGATACATTTATTTGTGATAACCTGCTTAGTACTAATAAAAAATACATATTTTTCTAATACATTTTAATTTTAAGGCTGTTTCTTTATTTGGTTAGAATATTCAATTTCAGAGGGTGGCAAAAAATATAATTTTTGTTTTTAATGCCACAACTGGCACCTTTGTTAGCTAGCAACTCTATGCTTTATACACTTTCAACTTAGTTAATATATAGAGCAACCCATGAACAGTCACCAGCACCGATTCGAAAAGTATATTTGAAAGATGTCAGAATGTATGTAGATGTTTCAAATATGTTCTTTCAGCTTATTTGGTTTTTTGTTTTTACCACGACTGTGCCTAAGTCAAGTGAAGTTAAGAAAACTTTAGCCTTTTTTCATTTCAAAAATGCTGATTCTAGGCATCGCAGTTCGCTCATGTTATTTTTGTGCAGATCATGAGTCCATATGTAGGCAAAACGATCGAGCTAGAGAACCCAACACAATGGATTGTAATAATTTTCATGTAAATCGCAACGAAAATCCAAAGGACTATATCAAAGAACCAAAGTGGCTCAGAAATTATACGAGTATAATGCTGTATGGTGTCCTTCAAAAAAAGAGAGATATAGAAACACAGTGCATCAGTATTAATTACAAATTAAGTAATACCTCCACCAACGTAAACGTAACTGTTACCATGTACCATGTTGCATATTGCCTTTGAAATATGTTTTTCAGTCGGGTCGGTTTACCTTTCAGAGTTGCATGTATCGAGGTTTTCTTCAGTATGACGATGGTTGTGAGTATTTTGTTCAGAAAGTTTTTGTCGACGAAGTGTGTCGTAATGTAAAATGCAGTTCGTGCGTTGGACACAGATGCAATTCGGTAAAAAGAAGACGATCGAGTAAATACATGTATTATTTTGTGATAAGTTGCTTAGTTGTAATACAATATATATACTTTTTTAATATATTTTAACTCTGAAAGGTGTTTCTTTCTTTGAGGCTTTAAAAATTCCATTGCAAAAGATACTTAGTTTGTACCAACACGTCTAATGCCATGTGATCGAAAAAAGTTCTCTATTTTAAAACAACGACGTTGGCATTACAGCTATTTGACACTTTATTTGAAAGTTATTTAGTAATAACTGTCAAACTAAGGATAGAAGGGCACTTTTTTTCGATCTTATGGTATTATTGACTAAATTGGAACAAAAATTGTCATAATTTGCTTTAACTTTTCCATTTTTTCCCTGATTTTTCAAATTTTTAAACAACGCGAAAATGTGAAATCTCCATCATTATGAAGGATTATGCGGATGGGTATTGAAAATAGACTTCGAATTTCAAAATTAGCCAAAGACACTGAAGTGGTCAAAAACTGATGGCGTCATATTATCGCCATAGTGGTAGATGTTATATAATTGGTAAAGATTTAAAAAACCTGCTGCTCTGAATAGTAATAGTAGGGCTAATTACCTATTACGATAAACAAAGAAACACAATGAACTAATCCAAGGATCAAAATAAAGCGATAAAAATAATACATTGATCATACCAAAATCAGTACTTATCTAGGAAAACAAAAATTTGTTGTGAAGATAATAAATAAAATTTCGTTAATATTCTGTAATCACAAACCATTCTTAATATCATCTCAAAATTTTAAAGAATTCAATTCAAAATTTTGAGCTTTTTACGCTGTTAGGGTTGTAGTTTAAACCACTTTAATTCTTAGAAAAAATATATTGCAATAAGTAGAGGTAGGGGGTGCAAATAAGTTTATTAAATACAAGTTTGTACACATAAATATTTACAGTACTTTGCATCCGCATTCCTAAAACTCTCTCTAAATGTGCAAACATAGAAACAGTATCATTGATGGAAAAAGAAACCGATCTAGGCCAAACGTGTGATTCTTGTGGAACTCCAAAATTTACAAAATTTGTGCGTAGTGAAAATCCTCAATTGCAAAATGTTTTTTTATCTACCTTTTTTGGTTTAACGCGACATAGTGAGGTATTTAATAAAACTTTAAACAGGCGGTAAAGCTTTTCTCAAAAACTGAGAGTCTTTTACAAAAATTTGAGAGTGGAACGCACAGAAGAAGTGATTACTCATGCTGAAGAAATAATAGCAGCAACTCAATCTTTCTATTGGATTAACCCACACACTGTTACGTAAAGATTTGGAACTTTATCCATAACGTGTCACAGCGGTACAAGAATTGTTGCCAGTTGATTGTCCATGACGATTAGTATTTTGCAATTATGTTGTGAATATGAATCACAACAGAATTGTTGCAGAAGGTAATTTTTAATATGAAGCATGATTTCACATAAATTGGTAATATCTTGGTGTTTGGGTTGGAGTTGTTCGTAACAGAAGAACATTTGCAACGATCTCTTGAATGAATAAAACAATATTTGCAACATTTTTTACGCTCTTTTATTAGGAACACTGAATGTAGCAAGATATAGAACTGAAATTTCAAAACCATTTGTCCATCAGCTAGGAGATCAAAAACTATAAAATGAAATTTTACAATAGGATGTAAAATTCATGCTACAATGGAAACATTAAATTTTTAAGACAGTTTTTTTGACAATCGTATAGGAGATTGGTCAAGATACAGATCATGAAAAAACAGTGTCTTTCCGACGCCTGTTGGAACAATCACTCAATCACACTATGTTGGAAACAATTTTTTGGCAGGCAAATTCTATGGTGCATTCAAGCAAATGGGCAATATTTTCAACACCTTTTGTATATATTTTTGAACAATTTTCTATCATTTTAAAACAAATAAACTATAATCCCATCTGTACCTGTACTTCCTTGCTCTTTTTTAACTACGAAAAGGTGTTGAAAAGGGTTAATTTTATTATAAAAAAGAGGCCAGGTTGTACCTTTCCGCGTTGTCAGCTGTCATCAACTAAATTTTAGATTTATTGCAAATATAAAGTACGTTTTTCTTTTTGAGTCGACCGCCTGTTTTTGTGTTGGTAACATAAATTTACCCTATACGTCTATTAAATTAAGTATTAAACAAAAAATCACAAGATGCATTATTAAAATGTTCTACAAAAATGTTAATGTCTACCAGAGACAGTTTAGGCAATACTAATACATGGTCCTTGCTGTCCATAATTTTGAAATCGGTGGATTAAAAAAATAAAAGTGAAGACAACACAAAAAATCGTACAGATAATCATACATACAGGATGAGTCACTAATCGCGCTTTCCCCGATATCTCATTAATTATTAAAAGTAGAAGAAAAAGTCAAAGCCCAAAGTTGTACGGTTATTTGAGGACTATACTCCAAAATTATTTTTAATTATACAGGGTGTTCTGATTTTAAGGCGTAACACACAACTTTACATATTTTGATTGTTTTTTTTTTAAACTTTACAAGTAAAATTTATTTTTGAAATACCGCTGCGATTTGCCACGATTTTCCAATTTTCTTGAACTTTTTGAACGATAAAAGCGTTCACAAAAAAAATCCCTTTAGTTTTAATATCTGTGCTACAATAATTTTTGTGGATAAATAAATATAGGTGCGTGTTTTGTTGCGGTATAACTGAATGAAACTTTCATATAGTGTTTATAATTTGTATTTAATTATTACAATTTTCAAAACAAATATCTCAGTTTTTTCAAATACCGCACCCATACTTTACTACTGCATCTTATTATATTTTTTGTTATCTTCTTTTTTTGTTAAGTATTTTCTATACTTATAAGTTGATAGTTGGTGGATTTTCTACTTTGTTAAGATGCAATAATAAAATACAAGGGGTTCTATTTGAGAAACCTGAAATATCGAAAATAACCTTATTGCGATTTTTTTCCAAACAAAGTCGAGAAAATTGGAATAATAGGGCAACGGCGCATCGGAATTTCAAAATAAATTGTAGTAATAAAGCCTATGAAGAAGCTAATGAGAACATGTAATAATATATAGGGTGTTTCGTTACAAACAACTATGTAGTGTGTTATACTTTAAAAATAGACCACTCTATCTAGTTAAAAATAATTTTAAAGTATAATGCTTCAAGAACCGTACAACTTTGGTCTGTTGTTACGTATTGTTATGTACAGAATAATTCCGACTTCACTTGTTGGTTGAGACTGGTCCGTTCCCGAAATAAATCCATACTTAGCTTCTAGACGCTCTGCCGTCGAGGTCTTTCTGGAATTCCCATCGCGACTTCCGCTTCCAGGCTTTTCTTTAGCGAACGCCGCCGTCACCCATCATCGCCGCACATACTAGAAAACCCATAGGCGTCGTACGGGTGCGGCGTATGGGTTTATTTCGTAACAGTATTTATTGCATCGCTAACAACACACTTGCGATGAAAAACCTGTCTTAAAATAAACAGATGAATTTGATAGATTTTCGAATGTTAATTACCGTAAAAACAGTTTAAAAAATCCATCACGTACAGTTCGAAAGAAAAAAATTAAAACCAAAAATTCCGAATATGTTACCGCTTACGAAAAAATGCGATAGCAGGCTTTCAGCGGTCTGAAATGAAATAATAACGAGTGTCTAATTAAAAATTGGTCGGAGATTATTTTGATACAACTTCCCTCTCTCCTGAAGTACCAGTCCAACAAATCCCGCTTCTTTCAAAATTATAAAGCTAGATTTTGCGATGTTTGTTTTGTGGTAGCCTCTATGAAGTAAAAACCAGCGACAGAAATAACACAACCGCAAATTGTGCAAATTGACAAAGTACGGACAGTGTAAAATATATTTAAAGTACATAACCAACGGAAAAAATGGTCTCCCAGCAATAATAAGAAGCGTTAACTTCAAGTGTTTGTGAATGTCACGTAGAAATTTGTTTGATTTGAATGAGTTTGTCGCCTCAAAACAGAGGACTAAAATTATTATATAAGACACAATCGAACAGATTGTTCGGAATATTATTATTATTATAATTTTATTAAATAAAGAGCTGCGTATTCTCAACTTTTCGAGAAAAACGGGGTGACTCGTTCTTAATTTGATCAATACAAATTTCGTTTTGA